TACCTTTTACACATCGAAATCGAATATTTTGGTCAGCTGTACACTGTCCTCCCTCTCGGTGGCAATCAATACAATCATTATTCCATTCTATATTATATTCGGCGCCTAACCGTTCGAACAAGTCAGCTGAATCTGATATAGGCGGTGATTTGATTGGCAAATAAAGAACAGAACAATTATTTGGAATTGGGGGCGGAAGATTTTCATTTGAATTGGCGTAATATATATCGAAGTCACCGCAGACTTCGTAGGTTCTATTATAAGTTTCCTTTAAATGACGTATCTCATCGTCTTCGTCGGACTTCATATTTTTGGGGCATCTGATCAAAGTGATATTTGGGAAGAATATCAACGAAATAGAATGAGTATATGGAATATGGAATTTGAGGAATAAATCGCAGCTATTACTTCGCAAAAAACTTTCAAGAAGAGGGTTTCGAATCAATACTTGATTGGAAGATATGTTGGACTTAATAATCCCATATGATGGCGATAACCTTTCAGTATCCAGGTGAATTCTTGGATATGGAAGGGCATCGCACTCAACCGCGAACAACCCACATCCGGGTTGCGAAAAATCTGCCAGAGGAAACGACAAATTGCCAAGAATTCCACACTGGAAACATTTTGGGCAATCAGAATACACAAAGTTGAGGATAAATACATGAAGAAACACAGAGAAATAAACAAAAAAACTGGCAGCATCCCTACAGAGCTCTCTTGAAGAAACCATGATTAACAACAGTAGAAGAAGAGAAATAAAATAAAATTCTCTAGCTCTGTCTCAATTATATTTGAAAATTATTAGCACCATCAGAGTGGAACACGGCAGTGTACTCGGGATTTTTTTAGTCAAGTCTAATAGAAGGTACTGAATAGTCAGCCTAAACCAATAACACTGAAGTTTCCTATACACTCCCGGCGAATCAGAAACAACTTCAAGGCCCACTCTTCTTGTAATTAATATAAATTGAAATCAAGTCAATCTCATCTCATTGACTCTGTTATTTTTTATTTATTTCTAAATGCGGAAAAACAGAAATAAAAAGTGTGAAGATTTGGAATTTCCATATCGCTTCAGTTGTCACTTGAGCAAAATTTTGAAAAGAAGTTTACCAGGAAACAGCAGTTTGTTGAATTGTCAATTGCTACTATTTTACTACTTACAAATTATCAATTAGAATTTTAGGATTAGTGCCAAAAACACGGAATTGTCATCATGTCGTAACTCACTCTAAAGATTATATATTTGGCAAAATAAGTGATTTTAATTATTGTTGTTATTTCTTTTTCGAGAAAATAGCCCTCGGAGCCCCTAACCTTTGCATGAATTAGTGCATGGGTCACAGTTGCCAAGATAACTACAAAGATGAACAAGCTCAATATCCACTGCCACTCGTCTAAAGAGTCTTGTTGTTCAAAATGACATGAACATTGTGCTAGATGAAGTCTTTAACAGACTAGGTGGCAGTTCAGCCGTGCATGCACAAGAAAGAGCAATTAAGGTGGAGGAAACAAGTTTGAATGAACAGAGAAGTGACAAAATGCATTGAAAGCATTAAGAGCGCATCACCAAGCCTCCGTTATTATCAAAGTCGATGCAAATGAAGATTTCACATTTTTCAAGCTGTATCTAAGCATGTTATTGCTAAACACTCATTAGAAAGGAGTTTTGACACAATTACTAATGTGATACATTAGTGAATCCTCATATGACGCTAAATCGAGGTATCATGAATAGAAAAGTTAGCATTCTCCTGGTAGTGCTGATCAGTCATTGCCAAAACAAGTTATTCAAAATCCTGGTGCCTCCTTAAGACTCCTAAAGTATTTTGTCAAGCTTGGATAGTTCGACATCAACTTCAAGCCAAGAACCTCAATCAAAGGAGAAAGGTTTCACTGAATTCATTGCTAAATTCACTTACAAACCAGAATAAAAGCCCTATCCTAATAACCCATTCGTGGAGGTGAGAAATGGCTGTCGTTGGCTTTAAGGTCTCAAAAAGTAAAGCAAAGTACAAAGTACCTCTAGGCAGACTGAGATTGGCCAAGAATTGAAAATTGAGCACTTTCCGTTCGTAGCAATTCCCCATTGGTCATATACCAATTAATGAAAGAATACCAACCGCGCGGTGCAAACATGATCTACTATCTGTTGATGTGAAGAACATGTCCATCTATAATCCATCAAATTCAATAATAGATAGGTATTCTACCATCTGAGTGAATATTTCATTTTATTTACCTTAATATAACAAATACACAGCAAACAGCTAGCATTGGATAGGTCAAAACATTCTATTAAAATGTATATACCGTCTTTTCCTATCATTGTCCTGCTATGAAAGCTCATTTTACATAATTTCTCGAGGACATTACATTTTGATCTGATATCATCAACCAATGACCAAATATTTCTGACTAAAAATAATGGGGATCAATGAGAAAGAATATCAAGAAAAAAAATTGAGAAGATATGAAAAAAATACTATGCTGCTTTAACTCCACTTGGCCGTTTTCCTTCCATGGCATCCTTCTTATCATGGCAGTCAGTACAAAGGAAAGGTCCTTGCCAAGGAGTCGAGCTCATTGAGAATATGAAACCAGCATGAACTGATATTCCTTCATTTGGAGTGAGGTCAGCTTGGCAAATGGCACAAACGAAAAGGCCACATGTTTGACCATTGGAATCATCGTTACCCAGCCTACAAATAAAGTTGAAAAAAAAGCTATAAAGAGACAACAGATGGCGATGGCGACGACAGACTCAGCTGTGGAAGCACATATACCAGCCAGAAGACTTTGGATGATATAGATAAAATTGCAAGTAAATGAATCAAGAGATAAAAGTAACAGAATTGGATAGATCCCATGCCATTAAGTGGCAAGTAATGGAAGTCATATAAATATAGTAGGAAAACTCTCCCCTGCTATTTATTTGGACCATCTGTAATTGGTATCTGATTCTGTTGGGAATTAAGCCCAAACACCAATTATGAGAGCAATAATAAGCAAACTGAAATAAGAAACATAGACTAACAACACAAAAATTTATAGAGTTTTGCACTTAATATGAGAGCTACGTCCACTCGCCATTGATTTTCTTTATGTTGGAGAAAAAACTGTACAACGGTTTTCTCATGTAGTCGCCTAAATCCATTACATATGGTAGAATGTCTGTGGACCTACTGCAAATACGGAATATCCTGAACCCAAAAATAGAGTATAATTAAACACACATACTTCCTTGCCATGTTGCACCGATACGCTACCACAGCCGACGTGTTGGTGTCCAACACATGTCAGACAATGACATGGGCCATACACATTCCGACATGTCTTGAAATTGCCACAAGACATGATGTCCCTCATTAGTTTATTTTTTCAAATCCCACGTTAGTGGACGTGAAAAACCATGGTAAGTGCTCCCAAAAATAGAGAAACAAACATGCCAGTGAGTGCAATGAAAAAGGTCATCACCGACAAGTGAAGTGGAAGACGCTATCACTGGCGAATGCACTGGAAGAGAGAGGTGGAGAGAGAGACAATCGAACCCTTAGCATTATTTTCACGGAGACGAAGACGACACTTGAAAGTTGAAAGCCAAACCCCAAGCAAATAATTTTATATTTTTTAAAATAAAAAATGGGTCAACATTTTTTTAAGTGGGTCAATTGTTTGTTTCTTATTTTTAAAAGTGGTTCAACCATATCATTACTCAATTGCCTAGCTTCTTCCACGAGTTAGATGGGGAACCAAAAGTGACTAAATTGAATTATATTCACATTTGAATTTTATGCTTCACATTTCTTAGATCATTGAAAGTTATTTTTTCTTCATTTTTGTCCAGTTAGCCTAAAAAATAACACGTGAATATTTCCTGAAATTCTGACATTATATAAAGCATGTTCTTCTGTCCAATTTTATGTATTTCTGTTCAACATTGTGGTGCTGTTCGCTGCAAGAATTAAGCAGTCCCAGAAGATATCCAATATTAAGAATACACAGCATATGCACACTCGTTCCGAAGATAATAACTAGAAAAGGAAAAGCACGATGTACACAGAATATAGAGACTCGATCCAAATCATCCCCTTTCACCCCAATAGTGTGACTCTGATGCACAAAACGTCTTACTAGATACTAACTGAAATTAAGGTAGACAATACAACTTGGTTCTTCCTTGAGCCCCAACCAGTGTAAGACAAATATATTCATAATTAAAAAGGTCAATGCAAGATCTGGAAATTTGTCCCGTTAAATTATTCATTGTTTACGAACTATAAATGTTCTTCTCCACAATGAAACATAAAAAAAAATGTAGTTTCATAAAATATCTGAAGGACCTTCTTTGAATTTTTCCTCGTGCATATAACAAGTAGATGGAGAGAAAAATAAGATAATGTTAAGAAGCAGTATTTGTGTCTTTAATCATTTTTAAGATAAAACAATAATGGCAGGAGAATACTAACCTCTCAGCAAGCATTGCTGATCCTTCTTCAAATAATTCCTCTACTATACCCACAGCGGATAGCTTCTTTGATAGTTTATGAGCAGATTTGCAACATTTTTTTCTGAAGAACAAGGCTTGAAATTTGTTATATTTCTTGGGTGGAGGAGGCTGCACTGTACAATTAGGAGGAATTATATCAACAACTACACAAGTTGTGTCATCCCTCAGTCCACATTTCTTCAGTGCTTCCTATCCAATTACCAATTCATGGAATGAGATATTCCCATAAACTGGTTTACCACATGTACAAACCAAAAGTAGAATGTAGGTCAATACATTATTATTTTGTATCTTCCTACATACATATTTTGAAAGGACCAGATTTTATAAACTCAGCTAGTAAGGAGACTAGAGCTTAATAGACTGGTGAGCTTAGAAGTTAAATACCTTCACTACTAGCCTAGAAGCAAGTTCAGCGGGCAATCCACGACAAGATTCTGCTGCCATTTCTGATGACAATGCATCCCATATGCCATCCGAGGCAATTATTAGCCTTCCACCTCCATTTGATAGCTTCATAGCAATTAAACAAGTCAAGGATTCCACACATAAGCATCTACTTCATAAATAATGAGAAGCGCATGTGAAATAGTAAATAAAACTCAGGAGTGAGAATGGGGGTGGGGGATGGGAAGTGGGGAGGGTGGTCATAGATGTTGAAGAAAAACTTAAAATAAATAAATTTATGTCCCTCTAACGGCTTAAAATTTTAGAAGAGGTTCTCCAACATGGTATCATAGAAGGTAAAGGTTTTAAGTTTAAGTCTCATCACCACCTATTTATGAAAATTGTTGCCTTTTATAGAAGAATGTAGCCTGCACATCCAGGGCATGTTGAAAACTAACCTATAAATAACTAATATTATTCGCTCTCTAGGAATTTAAGCTTTCAAATGAGAAGGTTCAACAGTTGAATTAGAAGCAATAAAAGATCAATACTTATGTAGCTACCTTTACTTGTTTGACATACGGTACTGGAACTATAAATTCACCAACATCTATGTCTCCAATAGATCTTGAAATGCATAAACCCCCTGGCCAACATCTGAGAGGGCCAATCTGTCAAAATATATGCATAAAAAAAAAAAAGCATGATTAACTCTGTCCAAATAACATGTGAAGCAAATATGTTTGCCTCATCCCCATAAGAAGACATTCCTATGCATTAACCAATATGAGATTCAGAACTAGAAAGCACTATAACCTCCGTGCCACCAAAAATGCTAAGTCTTCCAACTTCACCTCCACTCTCTGTCACACGTGCTCTTCTACAATTAGCAAGACAAGACGGTTACTATGTTAGGTAGTTATAACTTCCAATTTTATGGTTATTTGTAACACTATAAATAGGATTTCTTTTTGTAAATTGTCTATTCCTCCTCATATTTATGTCTCAATGACTTTTACTCTATAATTTCAACATGACATCAAATCCAGGCAAAAGACCCAAGTTCAAAAGTCTTGCAACCACCCATTTTTGAGAACTATGCATGCGTCAAACCTTTGATCAAAAAATGAATATGGTTTCCACTCGATAGGTACTATTGCAGACGATATTTAAATGAATACATGAGTCTCTCTCTAACAGTGTAAACTTTTAGATGAAGTGGTTCAACAAACAAAGAGAGAAAAGCAATAATAAAAAGGGTAACTAGATTAGCACTTACTCGTCTGCATTTTCCTCAAGTCTGTGGTCGACAGTCAAGACAGAGACACCACCACCCTGTGCATCTAAAATGCAGCGGGAATCGCCTACAGAAGCAACAGTTACGGTCCATCCATCAACTACTACAAGTGTTGCTGTGGTTCCTGAAGTTTTTCCTGTTGAGAATAGGATGAAGAGAGAAACAGTAAGCTTCTTGAACCTCATAAATAAGGATGCGTATTACATTGCAAAGGAAACTGAATGCTGGATGTCATGCCTCTGCTCTGAAACTCCTTATCAGTTTTAACAAACTCAGCAACCAATGCTCGAGGTAAAGATTGAAGCCACTCATCTTGCCTGAGCCCATGAGGAATAGCACCCAAAACATAATTCAATAAATGATCCCTTGAAAAAATTGCAGCAGCATCCCCATTATGCCCATCAAAAATCTGAAATTTGGTACATAAATTACCATCGTATCAGGCATGATAAATCATTCTGAAAATTGAAGTCTACAAGACTGTGATTCATGAAACAACTTATCACCAGAATCTACAGCTAAACCAAATAGTTTACATTTGGCCTAAAGTTAATAACCTCCCAGTTTAGTTGCCTTATAATTTTATACAAGCAGCGCTTTTGGTTTAAGTTACTTATTATGCCAAATATCATATTCACAATAACTTTTAAGCATTCCCAAATAGCCAGAAAAGTACTTTCCAAAATTCAGTGTGGGTTGCTTTCTTTCGTCAGTATAAATGCAATTTGCAAAAACAATAAAGTGTAAAACTAAAACGTTTAACCAACCCAAATAGTAAATCCTGTAAAGAGTTACATACCCCGAAAACACAAAACGATGTTGATGGATTTCCTGGAATTCTCTGGCAATCGGTCTTCATCAGAAAATAATCCTCCCCTTTCCGGGACTGAGCTGCACACCCATACCTAATGGTTGGCTTCTCCATTTTCTCCATCTTCAATTCCCTACTTATTAGTGCAGCTAATGGCACAAGATCATGGCTATGCCTATGTCTCTCTTCCCTCGATCCCATTTCCAATCCCCACCTGCTCCTTTCCTGAAAACCTCCTATTCAACTAAGCTGCAGACCCTTATATGCTTATAAAACCAAGCTTATTTTCATGTCACTGCATTTTCCATTACCATAACAATCCACTGGACAAAAGTTTATATTCCATACTCCCTCAAATTTTGCATATCCAATTCAATTTTCAGCACGAAAAGAGCACTTTACTCTCCAACTTCATAAATCCAAGATTTCCCAAAATAACAACAAATTTTGCAACTTTTATATGCAATCCGAATGAAGAAATTCCACTGAAGGAAAAGCCAAGAATTTCCCCAAACAACCCCAAAAAGATTCTAACTTTATCTGCAAGCACAATTCATGGACACATATAACCAAACTAAAGATAAGATCTCAAAATCCCAACCAAATATCTATAACAAGACAATGAAACAGCACCAAAAATATAAAAGATAAGATTCCAATAGACAGACAGTGAAACATGGGATTACCTCGAATTAAAAGGGCCTGCATTATTATTATTATTATTATTATTATTATTATTATTATTATTATTTAACAAAGAATGCTAAATGAAGATCTGATAGTGNATTCTAACTTTATCTACAAGCACAATTCATGGACACATAACCAAACTGAAGATAAGATCTCAAAATCCCAACCAAATATCTATAACAAGACAATGAAACAACACCAAAAATATAAAAGAAAAGATTCCAATAAACAGACAGTGGAACATGAGATTACCTCGAATGAAAAAGGCCTGTTTTATTTTGTGTTGTGTGCTTTTTTTTTTTTTTTCCTTTTAACAAAGAATGCTAAATGAAGATTTGATGGTGACTCAAAGCCAAACAATTTCCACTGCAAGAGATGAAGTAATAAAGGGAAAATCAACAGAGAGACCAAACGTGGATTGATGACAGGGAATGAACTGTAAGGCCCCAATAATCAAGAAGCAATTACTTCAAATTATAAAAACCAACATCCTGTGTATACAAATATTTATATATACATGTGTGTGTATATACACACAGATATTACAGGTCAGCAAGAGGGCATCCACCACCCCCGCCCCTGTCCCCACCAGACAGGCTAGCAAAGATATTTTGCAATATAAAATTAGGTCAATGTGCAACGGTCCAAGTGAGAAAAAATGAAATTAGAGGGAATTAATTCCTGTCTAGTGTTTTAAATACCGTAGATTACTTTCTCCCATCACCTACTCTTCCCCTCCCTTCCACTCTCTCACCAATCTCACGAAAATTCCCTTCTTCTAACACTCGCATTCCTGAATCTGCACAAGTGTTTTAATCTTCATTTTTGCTTTTAATTTCCGTTGAAGATCATCAAACCCTTTCTTCATATATTGAAGGTGAAAAAGGATGTCTGATGAAAAATGAGTGTGGCCACCTCACCTACAATAACCAATTTACAGAAAATCAATTTGCAGTAATTTAAAAAATGGACTTGCAAACAATAAACACTTTAGATGCAAAATAGTTTTCGGCAACTTCGCATAATCAATTTGCAGAAATTAAAGGGAAATATGTGTGGGTGGACAAGAAAAATAATTTGAGCGTTAAGGAATGCGTGGAGGGAGGATTGTTTGGTTCTTAACATGTGATCGGCGTTAACTTTGTAGCTTTATTTGAATTCAATTTGGTTATTATTTTGATTGCAACCTTGTCTGTTCTTTCACTCTTTCGTCGGGG